CTTCTGTACTCTTGGTTTTTCTCCAGCTCTTGGGGAATATGTTTTTCTTCAGTGAATAGTGCAAAGCATCATGAGGAATTTCATTACTGGCTGGAGTGGTTTAAAAAGCTCGCTGCCGCTTTAAGACGCCAGATTTACATATTTCATGTTTAAAAGGTTTACAGTATGTCTCACATGCCCGTATAGAAAGATGGAGGTTTCATTATAGGCTTAATGTCACCGCGATACCAGGATTAATGCTCTTTCCTCCGCCTCGGTCTGCGTGGCTGCTCGCAAGTGACTGGTGTTCCTGGCTGACGAAGCCGTAGGGGTGTTTTCGTGTTCCAGGAGATGCATTTTTGAATAATTAAGGCAAGCTTAATTCTCCAGCATCACTCGCTGGAGAAATCCACAGGCAGCCATCCTAGAGGAAGATGGAGGACTGGAGCTTGCCAGGCTCCTGGTTATTCTCTGTCGTGCACTGGGGCGGGGCGGGCGTTGACTTTGGGAAGGTGAAGCGCTTTGTGCTGAGAAGCCGAACCGGAGGAGGGCTCAGAGGGCCAAACTCTGCCCTCGGCGGCCGTGTCGCAGCCTCGGCACGGGCGCCATTGGAGGCTGTTCCATGCTCTGATAGACGGGGATTTTTCACCCTTGGGTAGCGTCTCCTCACCGGCGTGTGACGCGGAGCACCGGCTGATGGAAGACGCGGCCCAGGGGCTACGTGATAACCGGGCGCTTGGGGACGCGCTGTGACTTGCTGGGCGAGAGTTTTCTGCGAGGCCCTGCTGTGGCACAGGTGGGAATTTCTGACGGTCCGTTGAGCGCTGGGCACGCGTCTCCTCCGCGCCAGGCCGCGGCCATTTCTCGGCTGGTTTCAGGGCGCGGTCGGTGTGGCCGGTGTGGCTGGGGGCACCGAGCCACGCGAGCAGCATCCCCCGGAGGGTGCGGGGAGGAGCGAGGGGGCTGTCAGAACAAAAAGTGATTATAGCTGGCCAAAACTGCTCCCTCCTGAGGGTGTAAACCCTTCTGCTTTCATTTTAAGAATACTGCCAAGGTCTGTGGAGCCCTTTGAATACAGGCAGGGCTGTTGTCACACCTGCCTGCCTTGGGGCGCGAGCGCACCGTCGGCTCCAGGAGGTGCAGGGCTGGGTCCGGCTGTGGTCGTGCGCGATGGCGTTGTCTCCTCTTAGCCTTGCCTTTTGCCCGTCTGACGTTTTTTTCTTCAGGTCTGTGATGAGATGAAGGCGGGGGGCAAAGTATTCTAGGCTTTTTCCGAGATTTTTAAGCTTCTCGTTTTAAGATGGCATGGGATTACTGGCTGGTAACTTCTATGAAGCTTCTGTCACCTGGGATTTGATTTTTAATAGCTTGCTGTTACATTTGCTTCTTAAGATAAAGTCTCCAACGCTAGAATAAATGTTATCTGAAACTTAGCATTCTGAGGACACTGAAGTGATAACTTGTGTTAAATGTGCAGATGGATATAGATATATATGCATGTGTGGGCAGTATACTCCCACATCCATTTACATACACACAAACTACGGATTTAAATACAACTTAAATTGACTTACGTAAGTAATTTCAAAAATTACTATGAAAAGAAAATATGCACCTTAAATATGTTTACATTGATGTTATGGTTCTAGTTGAAAGGAAGCTGTGTTTTTCCACAAATATTTGCTTCTAGAGCTTTTGTTGTCCAAAACTCAATTTTTTGTTTCCCTGAGGATGTTAAATCCTCTGTCTCACCAAGCCAGTGAAAAGTTCCATTAATGTAAGTGGGATCAGAGCTCACTGGGTATTGCTTATTGCTGAATTAATAAATATCTGGGAAAATAAATACTTATGATCCAAGCGCTGAAATTGCCTTATACACCAGAAGATGAGATTTAGCACAAATGAAGTGTCTGTTTGCCCCGCATCCTAGCAGCATTGAAACTCACCGTTTTGACTCTGTGATTTCATATCTGTGCTCACTACACGATGGAAAGGGTTTTCATTTCAATAGTGAAGTCAATAATGATGGAGGTTATCATTTTCATGCTCAGGAATTCATGTCATTTTCATAAATCATTCATTTCATTTCATAAATCATGCTTTACAGCTGCAGAATGGAAACTTATTGCTGGACATTGATGAAAATCTTGTTTCAGTCACTCAGGTAAGGTTGTGACACTAAAAATGTTTTAAGGAAATATAGATGAATTCACCTATAGGAATAGTGCAATTTGAAAATGTTCAGCTTGGGATTAACTACACTGGAACATAGCTAATATCAGATGTGAATAATTTAAAGAAGCGTAATGGGTGAAATCAGTTCTCTAGTGCCAGCGAAATCACAAAAATAAAAGATAACTATTTGGTGTCCAGAACCTCATATGCTGTTCTGACATAGTTCAAAACTATGCCTGTGTCAGAGAAGATGCATTCATTTATTCAGGCTGAGAACTGGGTCGTAGAAACAAGCTAGACGGACATTTTGGACTTTTAAAATCCCACCTCCAAGTATTGCTGTTTAAGATTGTCTCTAGTAAGTAAATGATGAAGTTTTGTTCCCATTAAGTATCTGCTTCCATCCTCTCATGTAGAACTACAGCTCCCGTTGCGTATAAGTTGCTATTCTGTGAGAAATAATTCCCCTGTAAATATATTCCTTTTCCTTGGGGAATATTGGGAGTGAGGGTTTATTACAACAAACAGTGAAGTCAGCTTTCGTATCATTCTCTCCAGCTGCCTGTTTAGAAATGCATCTGCAGAATTCCTCTTAAGAGCTTTAACAGAATTACATCTGTGAAGAGTTTCCAAAGATCCATCACCTTGAAGCACTCTGAAAAGTATTCCTTTTCCCATTTTGCAGAGGTATTGAGGCATAGAGAACCGAGTTGCCACCTTTGAAATACATACTACATAATATACAAAAGTATACTCGCTATCAATTTTCAGTATTGATATGAAACGTATAATTTTTTTTTCCACCAAAAATGTATAACTTTACAGGCACCTCTTCCTCGTTTGTGCCACCACGTGTGCCCTGCCCTTTCACATCCCCTCTGGCTTGCTCTCCTGCTTCCTCACCTGGGATGGAAGCACTGGGGGAGCTTTTGCTCTTGGCCTCCTTGAAAGGACACCAGCTATTTCTTAGCAAGCCAGGGAAGAGAAAACTGTGAAAAGCTCACCAGTCATGTAGGAAAAGGGCGGGTTTAGGGGTGGTGCTGAACAAGCAATTTGGAGAGATGAGAAGAAAGTGGCTCTTTCCGTGATTCAGTGTCACCTGGCTTCTCTTGAGTCAGTAGTGCTATTGCCAGACGAGTGCTGCTGTTGTCATTATTCGAACTATTCTGGGTAGTTTAACAATACTTGCCTACTGTGTTTGCACACACTGCAGAAGTGACTTATGGGCCTTTTTTTTTGCTGAAGCTACTTCTAGCAGTATTTTAGTAATGTACAGTAGAATCGTTGTACCCTGAAGAAAACATGAATTTTTTTCTTTCTTCCTTCTTCTATTTCCATGCAGATACTTAGAGGAATATATAAGCCCATAAGAAGAAAATACATTGTCATATCACTAAAGCAATGTGATCTATTTAATATAAGACATGATGTAAGGAAATGTGAAATAATTCGTCCCTAGGTACATCGTTAGACATAAAGCTGAGAATCATTCAAGCTGCTAGACAAATTCCCGGTCTAAGTGATTGTAGCATTGCTTTGTAAATGGGAGTAGAGATTGGATTGCAGAAATGTATAAACCTTTGCAATTATTCTATTTTGAATAACAGTCATTTCTTAAAGGATCGTTTATAGTTGAAGGTTGGGGGGCAAAAAATCTTAGGGCAGTCTTGCTGCTTTGATAGATTGTAAAGACTGACCGGCCAGTGTGGTTCATGTCCAAAGTGCTACGTCGGCTACATTTGCAGGTCAAAACTCAACTGAATTTCAAGGCTGTGTATGTGATAGGAGGCTGCAAGATTTATGTGCCTAAGCTGGGGAAGAGATTCAATGAACTGAATGAAGATTTGCATTAAATCTCATTCATACCAAGAATTCTCGCTTCCCACATGCGTGGGTGCGATTGAGTATTATACAGGGAAGAGGGAAAGCCAGTAAGCAGAAGAGCGATAGTAGAGAAGGAGTAATTCTTGGGTTCTCATCACAACTTTCCAGAACAGTCACCCTGGTAAGGATAGTGGATGGATTTTAGGTTTCCTGCAGAGCTATAGGGGAACTGTGCTTTACCAGCCCTGGACTCCACATGAACTGATTTGCACATGTAGATGGGTGGAAGAGAGTCATTTTACTCCAAAACATGTGAAGGAGCTTTGATAATGCAGTCACTCAAGGTGCTCCTTATTACGAAGGTGCTTTTCCTCTTCTGGTCCGGTTGAGTGAGACCTGTATGGGTGACCTAGTTTGAGATCAACTGAAGGACGCCCTGAGAAAACATCTCTGGCGTGAGTTAAATGAAGAGCTACAAACTTAGAATAACCCACTTGTGCATCCTCTTTCAAGTCCACTTATCCGGGTCATACCTGTCCCATGGGCAAAGGGAAATCAGGCAGCACTTTAAAAGCCCTTCCCTTCTGTATCCTTCTGTCACTTCCACAGTCTCCTGCCATGTTTTAAGACCTTGAAATGGGGGTTTAGAAAAGGAGCCAGGGAAAAGGACTGGCCATAAATCATGCTTGGTGCTCAGTGATGTTAAGGGCAGAGCAGTAATGCACCCAGTCCCATTCTGGATAGTTTTTTCACGCTTTGTTCATTTTTTTATGGTGGAGAATTCCCTACAGAATCATTTTATAGGGTCAGCTGCCGGCTCTTTGGGTCCATCAGCAATATCAAAACCCCACAGCTTGAACCCATGTGCTTACTCCACATGGAACTTGACATTTGAAGCCTACATGGCTTTTGGGGGATCTATATTGTTAGCTGTTACTAGTTAACATTACATGTTGTATCTAGTTAACTCACAGTTTCTTCTCCTCAAAAGGTAAAAGGAATATTTTTTCTTCTCTTTACAGGCTGTTACCCAACTAGAGCTTTTTGGGGACATGTCCACTCCTCCTGACGTAACCTCTCCCCCAGTGAGTATCCAGGGAAACTGAACTGTGCATTTTTCTACATGCTATTTTCAGCACATTTGTTGAGCACATTTACAATTCAGGTCATCAGCCATTCCAGTAGGGAGGATTTCAAAGTAGTTTTTATGTTGCAAAAAAAAAAAAGTGAACCAAGTTGAATGTGGAGTCACTGTTTCCTGTTGATGTGCAAAAATATCTTCAATATTCATTTTACTGATATAGGGCTAGGTGTCATGTAAGATACAACCTGAGCTGCAGATCTCCTTCCCTGGTGTTTATCAGAGGTGCATGCTTCACTGCACTCCTGTCTTTCCACTGCACTGCAGGAAGATCCAGTTGCAGCCTTATATATCATGGCTCTTTGGTTCCACCAAACACATAGCCCAGAACTGCTGTTAAAGGAAGGAAGACAAAACAGTAAAGAGAGGGCTGAATGTGTTTTGAGGGCAAAGAAAATTTTCTCTTTCCTTTTCTGCATCATAAAATGAAAAAAACCAATCATTTTCCTGTGAAGATTTTGAACCTTACGTTAAGCTGTAGGGGAGTATGAATCTACTGAGAAAACGGAGGTGCTGTGAAGTCATCAGCCTCAGATCTCCAAGGTATTTCTGGAGCATGTCTGGGACTAGTTGTTCAAAGTCCTGTCTCCTCATCCTTGGCTTGCTCAATTAGATTGGATTTCTCCTTTAATGTAGACTTACAGTTCTGGTCCTGTTGGTTAATTGGAAGCAGTATGTATTCGCTTTTCCATAAATCCTGCAGAGAGTGCATTTGCCTTTACTGTTTCTTGCGTTAATGCCTTGGTCTTCTGCCTCTACTGGTTGTCACCTAACACCTGGAATCAGAAGTCTGTATGTTCTGGAGAAAGAAATTATGTCAATATCTTACATGTCATGTATTCCAAGCAAATTTTATTTTTATTTTTTCCTCTGGTACAAAGTCTCTCATTTTCTTTCTTTTTCTCCTGTCTCCAGCAAATTCTAATACTATATTTCTATTGCTTCTTTCCTTCTACATCTTTCCATTCATTTTTCTTTCTCTTTCTTCCCTCCAAACCTGTATTTTTTGAGTTACTGATGATGTGCCAGCAAAGTATGTGCTGCAGAAGCTGCAGCTTGATGTCATCATAGTCTTTTATTCCTGTTTTCTTGCAGACTCCTGCTACTCCAGGTGATGCCTTTATCCCATCTTCATCCCAGTCACTTCCTGCTAGTACAGACATGTTTGGTTCTGTACCTTTCAGCACTGCTGCCGTACCCTCAGGTGAGAAATCTGGGGAAATAGGAGCTTGGCTCAAATTTGGTGATCAGTTCTCCGCTCTGGTTTGCATTTCAGTACTCAGGGCGTTAATTTAGTAAGTGGAAGTGGGGAAGGATTTTGAGGACGGTGCTGCAGGGCAAGGCAAAACAAGTCTTTAACAAACAGGGAATATGTTATTTTGAATTTACCCACATTTTTTAAAACAAAAGCCAAAAAAGTCACTGGGAGTTCAACCATAGTTCAGCCATCTGGATAACATACCTTCTAGGTATAGTAGCAAGAGAGAAAAAAGCACTTAGTTTGGCTTTGCTTTCTTTGCAGTAGCAATGAATATCCCGTGCTGTCTCCAGTAAATAGAGAATGAGACATGGAGAATTTGATTGCATTTCAAAGATACTCCACTTAGTCAAATCCTAATATTTCCATTAGACTTTTCTGCGTTCCTCAAAGTGCTCGAAATTCAAAAGCTGTGTAGCATTCTGCAGAATGCAAGGCATGTGGTTTTGACTGCTGGTCTCTCCCTGGGATACTCGGAGCACTGCAAGAACAGCCCTCTCATCTCCACTTCCGGAAATACAAAGGAGGAGGAGTGCCTTTAGTCATTCAACAGTGACTTTCTAACTGGTTAACGACTCCTCTGATGGGCTGCGTTGCAGCATCGGGTTAGCCACTGCATCTCAGAAGGGTTACACTGGTAGTGGAGCGCTTGGGGATAATGTCAGATGAAAACCCTTGCTGCCTGGATAAGGTTACAGTGGGGGAAAGATAAAAGAACATCTGGAGAATCCATCATAGCCATCTATTGAAATAGATGTATATCTGAGTTACTGTTCTTTCATCACTCATTAATTTAGTCTTTCAAAGTTCTGTTTTTATTTTATTTTTGTTTTGGGCTCTCTCCTTTATGATTTTGCAACCACCCTTACATTTAGCATTACAAAACAGCCTACAAATAAAGCAAAGGGGAAAAGGTACAGGAGGACTCAGAAAAACACTTGGGTTAGAAACAGGAGTTTTAAAGCTACGACAATATTAAAAATAAAAAAGAGGTTGCATATTGTAAAGTATCAGCAGTATATCATTAATTTAAATGTGAAACAGCATATCTGTAAAGCTGAATACTTCTATCAGTGGAACATAATTATATTACGTGGTTTAATTTATAACATTTTTAACAGTAGTTTTAATTTCAGAATTTTTTTTCATTGCAAATAGCAAAGCACCTGATCATATAATTCCTACGGAGTCAAATTCTTGGTAGCTTGAAAAGAGGGTTCAGGTCTGACAGGAAGCAATTATAATTTTAGTTTTAATCTTTAATTTCCTCTCCGACTAGAGAGATTTTATGCTAGCATAATACCTGAAGCAGTTTGTTATTAGGAATGTAGTACAGGAGAAGTTGAGGACCTTTTTGATATTCTCAAGTAACTGGGTAATAACCAAATGGGGGGGAGGGGTAAAATCTAAATTAATCTGGGCTCTGTCATCTTATTACGCAATTTGAGACACTTGCTTTGCTTTTCGGAGTCCCAACAGTTTGAACTGTAACTGTGTCAGAAGAGGTGGCACATACTCTTTCTCGTGCAAGAAGGTCACACTGGCATTAGAGGGCCCTTGAGCTGTCACCTAATAGATGAAGGTGCTTCCCTGTGCCTCAGAACCAGTTTTGTAGCTGTGCCGTTGGCAGGAGTCGGCTGGTGGTCGAGTCGCTCTCCTCAACAAAGAAAAGAGCAAAAAGGATGAGGAACTGCGGCAAAGCTACGCAGAGGGGAGGGAGTCCTGGGCATCCTCTTCCTCCCCTCTGGCTGCTCATTTTTTAGCAGCGTATGGGCTGCTCTGAAAAGATGAACTCCATCCCAGTGCATCATGTTCAGTCCCAGAGATCCCTGTCCTGAGGGGAACGGGACAGGCAGGGGTGGAAGGCAGAGGATGGGGGCAGTCAGGGTAGCAAGGAGAGCCCACAGAGCTCAGTGGTGAGGCGCAGGGCTGTGCTGCAAGGGGGGCAGTTTAGGGAATGTTTTGGGAGCTGCTGTGGTTCTGGTAAGTGATTTGACCAAACCGATCCCGGCTGTGCGTTGGCAGAGCCCCAGGGAAGGGAGCTGCCAGATGGCCCGCTGCCGACAAGGTGCGTGCACACAGGTCTTCACAGACCCATGGGGGTACTTGCTGAGGAAGAGAAGAACTTTTTTGTTCGGATGAGGGGAAGGTTTATTGACAGTATGCACCAATTTGTGGTTTTGTATACAAGTATTTGTTCAGTGATGTGAATTCAACTATGTCTTTCATTTTTCTTTTTAAGTGTGCTGAAGCTCTGGGATCACTAATGTAGCCTGCATGTTTCTGATTCATTGTGTAGCTTTTTCTACATGCTCTTGACATGTGTTAAAATCTAACATCTTTTCTTTCTTCCCTCCTGCTTGCTTTCTTCTTTGAAGGTTATGTTGCCATGGGAGCTGTTCTGCCCTCATTCTGGGGACAGCAACCACTTGTTCAACAGCAGTTGGCCATGGGTGCTCAGCCTCCAGTTGCTCAGGTGATGCAGGGAGGACAGCCGATAGGGTGGGGCCAACCCGGTATTTTTCCTCCTACTCAGCAACCGTGGCCATCTGTAGCTGGTCAGTTCCAACCAACTGCCTTCATGCCAACACAAACTGTTTTGCCTTTACAAGCAGCCATGTTTCAAGGTACCATTGCTCCTATAGCTACTGTTCCACCCACAAGCGATTCCAACAGATCGAGTCCACAGACAGACAGGCCCAGACAGAAAATGGGAAAAGAAATGTTTAAAGATTTCCAGATGGCTCAGCCTCCACCAGTGCCATCAAGAAAACCAGATCAGCCTTCCCTCAGTTGTACCTCAGAGGCCTTCTCAAGTTACTTTAACAAAGTTGGGATGGCACAGGAAGCAGATGATTGTGATGACTTTGACATCTCTCAGTTAAATTTGACTCCTGTGACTTCCACAACACCATCTACAAATTCACGTAAGTATTTATATGCTTTCAGCCATACCTTTCCTCAGACATGACTGCTCCTCAGAGCATTTCTTTTTTTTTTTTTCATACAGTAAATTGCAACACACATATGGACTGAGAACCTTCATGCATGGTCTAGCTTATTAAATGTGGTCCAGCCATAAAGAAAAGTATCAGAGAGGAATTTCAGAGACCGTTGAAATCAACAGCCCCGATCGCTGCAGTCTGAAATTTAATTTCTAAGAAGACAGCAATACATGTTCTGTGCTAGGGACATGCAAGCTAGCAGGAAAATGCCTTTGACATTCAACCTTACAAATGGTTTCCCTTATGTCCCATTCAAGCCATTCTTTGCCAAAATTAGGGGATGGGTATTTGTTTTAATATCTTGATGTACTGGACATGTGAGGAAATTCATTGAAGAGCTATAAAATAAGCTTACTGTGTTCGTAGCATGGAGATGGGGGATTTTGCAGATTGCTGAAAAGAGGAATTCATGAAACACCGATTTACCAGGAGCCAGCCGGAGACCTTCTGTTTCACTTACCTGCCATAGGGCAGACGACTCATGCATTCTTAATGTAATGTAGTGGCGTCTCCCTGGTTCCTCAAGACATGTGCCAGATGCAGCCAAACTTAATTTGGAAACGGCTGAATGAAATCAAATATATGGAATTGATGATGACTTCTGTGTTCAAATTCACCTCTTACAGCTCCTCGTCAGAAAGTAATTTTCAGGGGTAATAAAAGTTGAGGGCTCTAAAGCATGAGCAGATTTTGTACTGCTGTGTCTTTCTGAACAAATTAACAGATATATATTCTCTTGCTCTTACTTTAATCTTTGTTCAGCTCCAACCCCTGCACCCAGACAGAGTTCTCCATCAAAATCATCAGCGTCTCATACCAGTGACCCCGCTGCAGATGACCTCTTTGAAGAGGGGTTTGAAAGCCCAAGCAAAAGTGAGGAGCAAGAGGCTGTGAGTAGCAACAAGGTTTCTAAATACTGATTAGCTCTTTTTAGCTAGAAAAGACCCAAGGTACTTAAATATTGTTTGGTAGTGTCTGAAATGACTATTCTCATAGGGCTGGGTGGTATTTAAGGGGGAGCTGCAGACAGCATTCACTTCTCGTTCAGTTCTGATAGCTAAAAAGGTCACGTTTATGTTGAATATGCACTAATGTTGCATACAAGGAACCAAACTCAGTATTCATATGTAAGGTTATATATGTAAGCTCTATCCAATGTCCTTTTTAGCATACCAGCATTCACTTGTTGATGGTAAGGGAGTCCAAGGTAAAACAACGTACATGCTGAGGCTGCAGAAAGAGATGTGAGAGTTTGTGTGTTAAAAAGATGATGGTTGATGTTGTCTTGCACATTCTTGCATCCCAGTTGCTTGCCTAGTTACATTCCTCAATGTTCTGGCCCTCAGTATGTGATTTCTTTGCCTTAGACTCAGTGGGCCAAAGCAAGAAATGTTATCCAAGCAATGACTTTAAATCACAAGGTATCTTAGGTAGGTAAGAGCGTAAGTGAGCCAAAGGCAAGGGGTAGTCTGTACAAAAAAAGGACCCAAAGGTACAAAATAACGCAAGCTTGGACTCTTCCTGATTCACATAGATTCGCTGGCTTTCAGGGCCTTTTGCAGTTCTGATTTTTCTGACCCAGTACCTTCTGAAGTCTCTGGCAGCTCCTGCATGGGCTCCAGCAGGTACTGGTGTGGTCCTTTCCTCCCTGCATCAGCTATAGGAAACCATTATGGCTTTTGAGAACGTATCAGCGGTGAGGTCTCACTTCTGGTTTTCACGAGATAGGATGTACTTGTTATGCCCACAGCATGAAAATAACCTCGTGTTGACTTTTCACTTTCTGTTGTTGAGAAAAAAAGGTGTTATGTTCTTGTATTCTAGCCTGATGGGTCTCAGGCCTCATCCAACAGTGATCCATTTGGTGAGCCAACTGGTGATACTATAAGTCCACAGGTCGGTAGCTAGATAGCGCAGGTTGGGGTAGGTATCTGTCCTTTTTTTCTCTACACCTTGAGGTGCTCACTTATTCTTCCACCAGTGCCTACCATTGCTTTCATGGATGCATGGTTTGTTTTTCCTTTTCATCTCTTTCGTTTTTCCTCTCCATTATCCACAGTGTATTCCTCATGCTCAGTGGTTTGCATGGCTTTTGCCATTCACTAAGTGTTGCAACTTCTGCAAATATGTGTGTTTCAGCTGCCTGCATGCTTTAAAGAAATGTAGACTTACTTTATTTTGTGTTCAAATTCTAAGGGGAAATAGGGAAACTGAGCCATTACTAACAATGTATTAGGCAGAACATTTTTCTTCTCAGATCCACTCTGGCCTTTAGTCAGATGTAACATATTAAATGGAATAAGACATCTTACCCATAGATATAACAAACATTAAATAAAATTATGTAACGATACATGAACATCTCTACCCTAAATCAATGTGATAATCAGTAGAAGCAGCACATTTATTATCTGCGTGTAAAAAGTATTGAAATGGGTTTGTGTGTTTTTATGTCCAACTGCAAATTAAAAACATCTGAAAATTATGATCATTCGTATCACCATTGGCATACTGATGATTTTAAAATTATTCATCAAATGTAAGTCATTTAAATCCAGACAGACGGGAAAGATGATCTTCTCATGTTTTGTGTTACAGAACACATTAGAAAATGTGGCTGCCGGTGAATGTGCTGTGATTTGTTTCAATACAGTATATATGTTACCGAAAAGACAGTAAAGCTACAAAGTTCTATGTGTGCGGAGCATTGTTATTCCACCCAGATACTCTCTAGTGTTACTATTTGAAGGATATCTTTCATTAGCTTCTCCCTGTCTGCCATTCATGTTTTGTATTACCCAAATAAGTGATCTGATACTGCTTCTGTGCTTCAGCACAGAGCTCCTGGAGGAAATCCGTAACAATAGTAGAACCCCTTTTTCTTTTTATTCTTGTACAGAAATTTCACTGTGTTTACCAGTGACTTATCTACCCTGAGCCAAAGTAATTTGGTTTCAACTCAAAACTAATAGTTTCATTAGGAATCAGTTTACTTTGTACATTAAAAATGGTTTAAAAAAAAAAAACCTTACAGTAACTTAGCTTTGATCCCTCTGGGAGTAGTAAGATTATCTCTTAATAATATGTGGTGCTGTGAGAAGGCATCTCCCCTTTCTTTAGCTTCACCAGTGTAATGCTCAGCTCTTGGGGGCTAAAGCAGAAGTAGTATTAAGCTTTGTGTCTCATTGAGTCTAAAAATGACAGTGTAAGGATAGAGTCAAGCTGGGATGAGCTGCTCTAGCAAGAGCATCCATCGGTTATTGTACGCTAGCGAGAACTGCTTCTGCAGATTGATGGTGCCACACAGTAATTTGGCTTTGCCTTTGCTTGACCTTGGCGAGCACTGACATAGCTGGCTATCCCAGCTTCAGACCATTTCAAGAGTTCTGCCCTAGATCAAGAAAGAGAATTTGACCTTTATCTGAGTCCGACACTCTGCAAACCCATGTGCATTTCTTTATTGTGGTTTATCCTAGTCAGGGTAATTCTGAAATTCATCGTGGGAAGAATAATGATAAAATCTCTTTCTAATTTTCCGACTGTCACAAAGATAGTTAGCATCATTTGTAAACTAGCATCACGCACGTTCACCTACCAGGGGTTCTGGAGATAACTTGAAACAGTAGTTTAAGTCTGTTAATGCGTATTTCCATGTAAGGCAAGTCAAGTGAGGGACTCCTTTTATTCTGCTTTTATATAATGCTTAGTAGAATTCATTCTTTTACCTGTCAAGGTTCTCTGGGAGCTACAAGAACAGTATATTACCAATGATTCCATATGTTTTTTCTGTCTTTTTTGTTAATCCTTGTAGAGGAGTCCTGCGCAAAATACATATAATTCTCAGAAATATATTCTGGGAAACGTTAAATAATGTTACTGATTATCATATTATAGTAATTCCTAAAAGCTATAGGCAGGAACAGGAAGCTGAACAAAAATAAAACCTCTATCCAGTGAAGTTACACTAATATTATTGTGCCTCTGTGCAGTGCCATTCAGCAGCAGTCCGTAGGAAATCCACTTGCTAAAACCAGCCCATCTAATTCTGAAGCCTAGTATTGTCAGAGCAACGGAAAGTCTAATCTCCATGGAAAATTATCAATTCAGGACTTACTACTGTGTTGTGTATTGAGCTTCGCATTTGGAGAGAAACTTAATGGGGAGAAACATGTAGTACAAAAGAATCACAGGCTGCATAAAAGCCACTTTTGTGTATTAGGTGGGAGATTACTTCGCTTTTTAGAGCATAGTTCTTCACACCAAGAACAGCACAAGTCAGCTGAATGGACCTTTTAGGAGCATGACATAGTATTGTGTTCAGAAATTTCAAATATCTCTGTTCCCAGCATCTCTATGAAATCAGCTGTAACGATAAAGTAATATCTTTATTTGCCTTGTCTTGATATATTCAGAATGCTCACCTGCCTGGTATTTTGTATGCTGATCTTTCAAGGTACCTTAGCAATTTGGTTTCTTGATTCTTTCTGATACTCCGTATTCTCACATAGAAATAATTCAGCATCTTTCAGTTACTGTCTTCATTTCTCCGTTTTTCCTCTCTTTTGCAATCTTCAACTTAAGCTCTCAAAATCCTCATCCTACCAGTAGCCGTTCTTGTAAGTCACTCTCCTTACAAATAGCTATGGGTTCTTAGTAGGTAAGGTGACATTTTATGGATATGTTACATTTTTGTCCCTTTCTGGTTGGAGATAAGAAGCAGACAGGCCTAACTTTCACAGGTGAAATAAAATCAACGATTTGCAGAGCTACTCATAGCAAGGTTTTGTATTCAGTTGTTTTCCCTTTGTGAAAGGGAGTGGTGTTGAGGATGGATAGTGATTTTCCAGAAGGGGTGAGGAGAACACTGAATAATAAGACTGCCATCTTCAGCTAACTTACATTTAATCCCCACTGCTGTTTGTAGAGATTGTGTGTGGGATAACTATGGTGAAAGGAGAGGGAGGGAAAGAACTGTATGTAGCTATGATTCTACCTAACATGTTAAACTAAAGCAAGAAGTTTGAACAGAGGAGTTTTCACCTGGTCGTCCTCTCTGCACCAGCGCACCTAATGAGCCTGAATTACAGGGTGTTAGGTGCGGGCCCTGCCAGCGTGGATATTTCTGTTCTTGGGGATATTTCAGCCTCAGCCGCTAACTCAGCGTCAGGAACGGGTATAGCACACTGTGACACTAGGAAGCCCTGAAGCTATACAACTGAAAGCTTGGCAAAGGCTATGGGAAGGGGAGCCTTCAAGCATGGTGAGAAAAGGGAAGGAGAGGATCAAACTTTGACTCTCTGATGACAGGCTTCTCCAGATACCTGTGGTTATGTTGGCTGGCATCTCCTAACAAAACATACGGATTGTGGAAAGAATACATTCAGCCCAAATACTGGGATCAGATATCACAAATGTGGTCTAACTCTGTATGGACCACACAAACTGGTTCTTGAAGGCAAATTAGCAACAGGGTGAAACTTCTGAGAGAGAATAAGGGAATATTTGATACCACAATTATTGCAATAAAAGCAATTTTAAGTGCTGGAACAAATGCAGCTCTATTGATATGCCCTGTTCAAGACTTGCACTGGCAGTCATTCACGAGAGATTCTCAGGAAACCTTCAAAACATTTGCGGCTAGAGCATATCTTCCACAAAAAGTTGTTTAGTTGTTCTGTGAAATGTGTGCAGACAATTATAGGCCCTCAAAATATGTGCCACCCTTCATGATTCTATCAGCACTGTCAGGAGAGCAACAGTTCATTAGAATATTTGTCTATCAGCTTTTGGTGGTACTTCGGTGGCCCACTGCCATCATCCGTCTTTGAGCAAGTGCCATTCTTAGTGATAAATGTTCCTAATAGTCTTAGTCAGCTCCAGGATGGACCACTATAACTCTTTATTTGGGCTGTTATTAGGAAGTTGAAAGAAAATAACAACTTATGGACGAAGCATTGGTTTATTTGGGATCTTAGTGAGCCTCAGGAGGGCGTATTAAGCTGATTCTGCATCCTCCTCTTCCTGCTGCCCCTTTCTGTTTCACTAGGACTCTGAATGGGCTCAAAATATCAAAGGCTATGTTTGCAGAATCTGTTACTATCATTCATCCAGCACAGTTGGAACTGAATAGATTCCAAAGAGGAATTCATAATGATTATAGGTGACCTGTTCTTACGTAGGCTCAAGAGCTATCATTCTCAAACCAAAGTCACAGCACCAAGCAGGGTTATGAACCTGAGAGAGAAGTAGATAGTGTTGTGCATTTGGAAAGGGATCACAGCTTGGGAAGTACAGCTTCATTCCAGACAAATGCTAAAATTGTCATTTCAGGCCCCATGCTCCTTTGTTCATCATCATATTTCCCAGAGAATCTGAAGGGACAAGACCAGAGAAATCCAGGCTGCTCTGTGAACAAAGGCATCCTACAGAATTGCCTTCCTCTCCGCTGCTACAATCTGTCTAACTGGAGCTATCTATTTTAATACAACCAGTTCATACACGAGTTTCTCGCTTCTTCCAGTGCCTCCAAGCCCACTTGAAGTAGCCAGGTAACCTTCCATTTCTCCAACTTCTTTCTCTAAACAAGAGACAACGTACTATGTAGCTTGTGTAGAGCCATGTACCT